AAAAAAAAAAAAAAAACATGAAAAAAGTCCAGTTTCTTCTGACCTTATACGTGGTTGAGTTTGCTTAGCTGATTCTCGAGAAGGGTGTGAGACTCAAACATTTTAGCACTAAATTCATATTGTTGTCACATTTTCTCTTTTAATCCTAAAGGCTGAGGGTAATCCACCAGATATCTAAATTGATGTCGACATTAGAATTTATACAGATTTCACATGTAATGATTTATGCTCAACTTACAGTAATTACAATTTATACCATTTCACTATGCAATGATTATTGTACTTCATATCATCTGTCTGTCAATCTCAAATGAGACAACAAACTGATACAACGCAAACTCGCAATTACACAGATATGGCACACACGAAAAGGAATCCTTTACTCACAGATAACACGAGCATATGCCCCCAAAGTCCTGCAGATCCCAACACTNGCAGATCCCAACACTCCAAGTTATCGTATTGTGTGAAGGTAAAGAAGAGCCCGTGGCCCGGTGAGTACATGCAGTCACTGTACCTGCTGTACGGATTCGTCCCGTCGTCCGGGCCCCACGGGTCACTCATTGGAGCGCACTTGTCGTTGGGCCGGGCCGGGCCGGGCCGGGCAGCAGAAGGCCATCATTCCCACCAGACTATAGATAATCACGGCCCGGCAGACCTCGTCGTCCGGAGATCCGGAGAGGATGACCTTCACCACGCAAAACGGGTCGAGATCGGGTCGTAGTTGTAATTGGAGAGGTCGTCAAATGGGGGAAGGTTTATGTGGCGGCGGGAGATGGGGTCGTAGAGGAACAGATCATGGGTGTGGAGGTTCCAAAGGCCGACCCAGCCGTGGGAGGAGCCCCTGAAGCACATCGCATCACCGCTGCCGGTTACTTCTCGAGCAGCCTCTTCGCAGGTTAGGGTTACGACACTCTTCTCGGCCAGGCTGTAGAATTTGTAAGCCGCCGCGGTGGCGTCGGATTCCAATTGTCGGAACCCAAACGATACAACAGCTATCCATTACTCAATCGTGAGCGATCGATCCGCCGTCTCGTAGAGTTCTTCCATTAAAGAAAGTATCTGAGAGAGACAGAGGAGATACTCGAGTAGATGAAGACGTAAAAAAATTAGGATTAGATTAGATGTAAAAACTTCCTCAAAAAACAAAAAAAAAAAAAAAAAAAAAAAAGGAAATAACGANAAAGAAAAAAAAAAAGGAAATAACGAAGGAAACACGCGAGGCTGGCCACGTGGCGTCCAAGAAAGCCCTCAAACCTTATTAGGATGTAGAGGGAAGAAAAGGGGTAGAGAACTTAGATAATATAGGGAGATATCTATAGTCTCTTGGGATCTTCTAGGTTCAGGTACCCCTCGTACGTGTATAACATCAGATACCCCCTTATTAACCATTAGATTTATTTAAGATTGAATATCAACCACATATTCAATGTACGAGGCAAAAAAGAATTTGCCTCGTACATGAATTGCCTCGTACATGGCTCGTACACCNCCGAGCCTAAACTCGTCAGAAAAATCTCTCAAATACTCCAAAACCTAACGTGACCCGGAAACCTCCTCAGATCTCTCCCGGGCTTCCCTTGCCACGAACGGGTAGGCCCGGAAACCCATGACCTCCCGGGGCAAGTTCGTCCGTAGCGAGGCGTAGAGGCTGGAGTGGATGACTTTTCAGGTCCGATCGAGTCCCATCGGGTCGGCCTCTGTTTCTATCGAGATGCTTCAATCGGGCGATCGTCGGAGGTGGAGCAGACGTNAAGAGAGGAATAATCCGACGCAGGCGTCGGAGGCCGGCGACGGGGCGGCGGGTGTGGGAGGGGTTTGGGATTGGGCCCGACTCAAGGTTTGGAGGAAGGAGGAGATATTGATGTGGATGTTGATTTTTGGGAGATTAATTAAGGTTGTGATGATATATATTTTTGTGTTTGAAGGATTATTATACAAATAATACAAATGTAAGGTCTTTAAAATAAATATAATTATCATTTTATAAGTTATTTTAATATTTAATGACATAAGGGTAT